AGATTCCACTAACAGGAATAGCTGCCAGGTATTGGGTTTTACAAACAATGGATGTGAACATCAAAACAAAGTCACAGATGCTTATGAAAGTGCAGGTACAAAACTGGTATAAATGGAAATGGGTAAGAACTCTCCCTCCCAGGCCATGAGGGCTCAACTGTTGAGCCCAGAGTTGCTGCATGGGTTCCAAGTCACAAGACAATGTCTGGAGTACAGGCTAACTTTGTAAATTGCACAGGGCCGACGTAGATATGTTGGCAAGGCCCCATTGCTTTCTGATCCTTCAGACCGTTACATAATCTATGAAGGCTCAGAATTTATTTCAAAGTCTGTAGCTGTTATTGCAGGAAGGAATGGAAACAACAGCAACCTGCTGGGGGTTCTGGTCCAGCTTCTTCACAGAGGGACAATGCTGAGAACAGTTTGGTTAGTGTATGCTAATGTACACTGCAGTATTGGTGTATGGCGGTTAGTGTATCTGTGTTATATTTGTAAGCATCTTATAGGTTTAATTCAACCTCTTTAGGATTAAGATCAAAACGGCAAATGCTCAAATCACTAATAGCATAAGGTTTTAGAAAATAATATGACAGTATTTCAAAAAGTTTGTGGAAAATGCATATTATGAAAAAGCTACATGGATTTCAAATTTTGTTTGCGTCAAAATGAACTTACCTTTTAATTCCATTGTTCTATAAACCTTTTGAAGTACTCTCATATCCACTTGGCACACAGCGTTATTTTTCTAGAATAATATTTATTCTAATTTAGATCTTACCATGTGCCAGACACTGTTCTAAGCACTTTGCATATAAATTATTCAATCTTCATAGGGGTCTTATGTCACTAGTATGATTGTTATTCTCATTCTACATACAAGAAAACTGAGATACAGAGAGTTTAAATAAATTTCCCATGGGAAATCGGGGAGTTTGGAGGAATGAAGAGTAATATGCACTCATTCCCACAGAAAGAAAGCACATCTACTGTGCAAGCCAGACGAGCCCCAGAAGTGACACTGTCAACCACTACACTGTACAGTCTCTAAACAACATGTCGTCTCTAACTGAAAGGTATGTGTAATGGGAAAACAAAGGCATATGCTTCATAGTCGCATAAGCCTGGTTTAAATTTTAGTTCTGCCATTTACTAGCTGTGTGGCCCTGGACAAAGTATTCAACATCTCTGAACATTACATTTTCAACCCTATAGTGGGGATAATATTGTGTATTTTATAGTTCTGGTATATTTGCAATAATCTGTATAATTCAACACAGTACTTAGTACACAGTCTTTCATAATCATGATTCTCCATTATTATTGCTTAAAATATAGCCTAACATTTAATATTTTACAGTACCTGCACAATTCTCTTTTAATTCACAGGCAAACTAGTGAATAAGTTCCCAAATAAAAGAAAGTACATTTGGGAAAAGACATCATTGTAGTTACCTGTACTCTAATGAATATTGTTTCTATATAATAGTGGTATCCATCAGGGTTATTACAAAACTCTGATACTTCATCTACCAATGGAAGGGGTTAAATCCAAGATAAGAGCTAACTGTACTCCATTCCACATTATTGATAAATTCATCTCAAAACAACTAAGAAAAAAGTCTAACTCATCAGCTACAGTTGTGGAGTCAGTAAAACGCACAAGAAGGTTAATACATGCAGTTTTATTGGCTTAAAAGTTACTCATGCCTTTTCCAAATCAGCTATAAAAATTGATCTCATCCCATCCCATCAGGAAGTCAATAACAATCAGAACTTTTTGTTGTTTTTCTCTCTACTCCTCTTGTAATAACCGTACATCTAACAAAGATCAATTTCCAAAGAGGGCCCTCAGGGAGTTAATAATCTATCAAATACAACTACTTAGAAGAGAATGCAAATCTGCAAGTGAAACAACACCTGGCTTTGTGCTGTAAGTATTAACAAAGCTGACCAGAGGAAAATGCTCAGAGCTGCAGATTCAGGATTCAGATATGCTGGGCACGTGCAGCCCTCGGTAGCCACTTTCCACAGTCTGCAGTGATCCTTCCATGAAGCACTCTCTCACGCTACCAGAATAGTATTCTTAGTATCCAAATTTCACAACCAATGACTTCATTTTCTCCAGGTAAGAATCCTTTTTTGCTCAGGTGGTGTAGTGTCAGGACATGGCTATGAGGTGTATTCTGAGGAAACATGCTAAGGACAGTCCCTTAGTTGTTCCCAACAATGGAGGCCAAGGCCTGAACTTGAACCTTTGCTCTCTCTCACCTCCAGGAGCCACAGGACCTCTCTAAACTTCAATTGCCTCATTGTATTTAGAGGATTGTTGATTTTGATATCTGAAACGTCTAGCATACACTAAACACACAAAGGGGATATATCTTGTGATAGGATTGTCATTTTTAGCCCTTGTTTATACTCCTGTGGAACTGTGGTTTTCCTACTTTCTACTTGTTGAATATTATGGTTAGTGCAGGGAGCCCTCAGGGAGGGAGGAAAGTATGGTTGTCTTCTTAGAACTGTATCTATGAAATAGATGAAATTTGTTCTCTTCATATTAGTAACAATTAAAAAATACACCCCCCCAAATGGTAGATGTTATTAAGCTGTTTTAGTGGGTTTTTTAAATTTTATTTTACACATAGTGGTATGTGTTGAGGCATTTTGATCCATAGATATTTTAATGAACCTTTTAGTAAAAGACATTAAGGTAAACAGTATTGTCATAACTTACGTTTTGAAACATGTATCAGGGATCTAAAACAATACCTTTGATAGCTTCCAGACTATAGTGAAAGAGACTCACTTGTGTATCACTGAACATAGGCGACATGACTCAGGAAAGGCCAGGAATCACTGAAGATCTCAAATTTAAAATTTTTATTATTTTTTCAAGAGCTACTATACACCATCTAAGAGGTACACTAACAACATTTAAAGGTCTGAAATCTGTATTTTGTAACTGTGACTATGCTACCTAAAGGACACCATGAGTTGGTGTGTTTCATAAATCTAACCATTGTGTAAGCCGGTTCTATTCCATTGAAGCTTTTGGTTTGAAAACATTGCTTTGAAAAATGCGAACATTTATAATGTAGAAGAATTTGATAACCTTATTTTTGCATGTCTTCATTCATTAATATATTGGGATTTTTGGATAATAAAGTGGTTTAAGTCCCTCCTTACCTCTCTAAACTTTGCCATAGTATAAAGAAATTCAATGATTATCTAGTGTGATAAAACTTATGGTCTTACTGTGATATGTATTAAATACATGTTAAATAGTAGTGATATTAATGATACTAACAATTGCTGTGATATACTCAATACAAATTAAATGGTGATGATAACACTACAGTTCACCTTCATTGATATTGTGCTAAGCACTGTATGATGTACTTTTTAAAAACATTGCCTCAGGGATGACGTTGTGGCATAGTGGTTAAAGCCACTGCCTGTGACACCAGCATCCCATATGGGCATCTGTGCAAGGCAAGTCCTGGCTGCTCCACTTCTGACCCAGCTCCCTGCTAATGGACTGGGAAAAGCAGCAGAAGATGGCCCAAGTGTCTGGGCCCCTGACACCCATGTGGGAGACTGATGAAGCTCCTGGATCTTGGCTTCAGCCTAGGTTGGCCCTGGCCATTGCAGCCTACTGGAGGATGAACTAGAGGATGGAAGCTAGTGCTATTTCTCTCTCCCTCTCTCTCTGACTTTCAAATATAAATAAATAAATCTTCTTAAAAATTGCCTCATTGAATCTCCTCAACCATTGTACAAGATGGATACTATTATTTGTTTCATTTCACATGTGAGAAAACAGAAAAGAGATAAAATGACTTGCCCAGGTTGGTGGCACAGTCAACATCTGAACCTCAGTATCAACCCGAAAGGCCATGCTCCTTCCCCAAACACTGGCGTATTGCAGATACAGGATTTAGACTATTCCCATTGTCTTTTTTGAATTCTGACAATTTACTATATCAAATTAATTTTATACTTTTAAACATATGCTTCTGAAACCAACTTTTAATCCCAATGGGGTTACCTATTGCACGTCCTCAGAAATAAACAGCTCTGTGCTTCTCCTTTAGGTATTTTTTTTTCTACCATTAAGGAAAGCTTTCTTTCTCCCTGGCACAGCATAGCTCCTCAAGCCTCCTTCAAGACAGCAGTGAACGCAGCTTCCATTTTGCTTTCTTCACTTCTCCCTCTTAAGCCTTTTCCCAGCTGGCTTCCAGTTGCTTCAGGTCTTGCCTCCAGAGTGGTGCCCTGGCTCCCAAGCCTCTGAGCTTCTAGGTCTGAGTGTGCTGGAATCTACAGCATCTGCCTCCCCACTTATCCTGACTACTGTGGTCATAGGGAGACTCTTGTGAATGCAGACAGTCAGTCAGCCAAGTCGAAATTTATACCAGAAATCTATTACCTAATTTTTAAACAAAATGACATGAAATCAGACTTGAAGATATCAAAAACATGTCTAGTTTCTGATTTAAACAAGAAAATCCACATTGTTACTGCTTCCACCACAGCATAATTTACTGCAACAGGAGTTCTGGATCTCATGCCAAAAATGAGGTCCTCTAACCAATGTCAAGGCCAATTATCTTGTGGTAGATCCCACAACAAAAGCAGACTATTGTGATTACAATCAGAAGCACCACCCAGAGAAGCTGGAAAGCTTCTGGGGATTTCTTAAAGTTAGTTTCTATTTTTTTTCTCCCTGTGTGTCTGTTTAAATAAACTACCGCAAACTCTGTGTGTGGGCACCGAGTATCTCAGAGCCCTTTGGGAAACAATGGAAAGGGTGATGAGCTGGGAGTGTGCCACTGCCGGTCTGTTTTCATCTGTGTGCTTGTGACACAGCAGAGATGACAATGGCTAAGCCCCTTCAGCATGCTGCATCCTCCTGCCTTCCCTGATCGGCTTCCCCAACACTGCCAGGGGCCAAGCCGTGCTTTTGTCCTAGGAAAGCAACGCCCAGGTGGCTGAGCACTTACCCCACGGTGAAAAACTGCCTCATCTCCTGTCTCCGAGACCTCATCAGTTGCTTGTACTCCCCAATCCGGAGCTTCTTGCCGTCCACAATGCAGGTGCGCTTCGGTCGGGGTTTGTATTTGTAGTTTGGGTACTTCTCTAAGTGGATCTTGCTTAGCCGGGCCTGCTCTTCGTAGTATGGTTGCTTCTCCTGGTTGGACATGGATTTCCAGCGAGATCCTAGATGCGAAAAATAGTTTTAAGAACCCAAGTGATCAAAGCAACATATTCCAGGAAAATAGGACTAGATACATCTTTCCACCACTTCACTCACTTCTACCCTGGGTAGCTCCTGTTATCACAGACCACTGAGCCTCCCAATAGTGTTTTAGACTATAAAACAAAGGACAATATTGTATGGAACACACTTATTGTATTACTTTCTCCAAATAACTAAGCCTGATGCTACTTTAAGGTTTCAAAATACATCTCTGCTGCTTAAAGATCATCTCCCACACCAAAGTTGTTGCTGTCCATTCTGCTTCTCTCTTGAACAGTTAAAATCCTACCCTTCCCAAGCATACTTTTGAGTATGGTAGGATTCTGAGGCAAAGTTCTTCGTACCAACAGTTCAAACATCTTCCATACTCCAAGTACATTTAGCAAAGCTATCCTTTGATAAGATGTCAGCAGATGTGGATGCCCTTCCACTTAAAAAATCTACTGTGCACACCATCTCCCCTGGCCTAGGGTAATTAAAAAGCCCAAACTTACTTAAGAAGTTAGAGCTTTAGAACCGGAAGGTACAGTTGGAATTATATATACCATTTTCAAGTACTATAAACGCTCATTCAAAGCTGTACCAATAAAAGTACAAAAATTTTTAATACGGTTTACACAGGAAGAAGGCAAAGTATTCCCTTCTCCAATATTGTTTATAAAGAATGATCTAAACACTTGACGAAAAAGGGATGTGTTTTTTACATGTATCAAATTGCATTTTTGTGTCTTGCTGCTGAAGAAAGCAGTAACAGCTGTGCGGACTGGACGTTAGCTATTCTTCAGTGGAGATTTTTTCATACATAAACAAATGGAAAAGTTGTGCAAATATTCTCTGTAGCCAGCAATATCCTGGTCTGCTTTAATAGCACATCAATCCCTGTTCTTTCCTGGTTGTTGTGTGGATGCTCCATGCACACAGGCTTCTCTGTGCCCCTCTGGCTCCCAGCAGCTTAAAGCCCCAGTGACCACAGGAATCTTGCTACCCTGCAACTGCTGGTGTTTCAAAGTTTACATTTTAATGAATATAGTTACTATACCCCCAATGTATTTTTTGCAGGATGCACACCAATAGTATGGATTCCCACCGTTGCCAAAATGCAAACAGAGAGGCTCTGTGTCCATCTGAAAGCTTACTCACATTGCCACTGAAACGGCAGGAAAACTATGAAAATCTCAATGAAATATCAAACTCTAAGGCCAGGGAAGCATTGATTTTACGTTTTCGGATTTTTTTTTTCAAATGTCCATTAGGAGCATTTGAGGCTGAAAGGTATTTAAACTCAAAAGAATAATATCCCTGTGTGTGTCTCAGAAACCCTAACAATAAGACCCCACTTAATTGTAATGAGTTTAGTCTCCACCTTGAAGTTTGAAAGTCAAAAGGAAAAAAACAAAACAAAAACGTGTATTTTATCATTTCACCACTACTTGATCTCACGTATGTTTCAAATTTTCTTAGAGGTCACTGCTTCAAAATGCCTCAGAATCAAGTTAAATTATTTATACAGCGACACAACATGTGTATTTGTGTATGTCCAGATCGTTGATATTTATTCAGGTTAAATATTTATTGCTTTTGAACAAAACATTTAAAAAATTAAAACCACAGTTTAAGTCTCTAACGTTTTTCAGCTTCTTAAACAGCTCCTTTTGAGATTTTGTCACATCATGACAGCTTAAATAGAACAGTGCCTTCTGTGTTTTTTCTCTTTAAAGAGGAAACATGTTGACTGTAATGCTGCATGTTGAATAAAATATGTTCAATATGTTGAGCACAATAATTCCAAACTGTATAATCTGTACGAGGCAAGCTTTACGCTAATAGAACAAGGCTTGAGTTTAATCCTGAGAAACAGGGAATCACTCTGCCAATTCCCCACAAAATGGGTCTCTGCCCTGTGGTCTATGTGTTCAACTCACTGCTATGAAATTTGAACTAGTCAGATCTTATTAAAGCACATGTAGCTTTATGCTGCAAGTTTTAAACTGATTATCATTAGAGGCACAGCTCCATACCCCGTGAATTTCACACCATTTCGGGGTTCACCCTTAGTCCTTGAGGTATTCTTTCAGTGAGACATACAAACCCAATAACACCAAAGCAGAAAACTGTGGGGTCTATGAGTGTTCCCAAGGCTTCAAAGTAACTTCGGGATTTAAGTAGACTAAGAACAGGAGATGAAGTTTGTCTCTGATTCCTGTTTAGCAATGGGAACTCTCAAGAGTCGCTAAATTCACAGTATTAACACACACTATAAATAGTTTGTCTCTAAAATAAGATTTTAGCCACCTGCCCTCCTGGGTGCGATAACTCCTAAAGCGAATGCCACGCTGTGTGGTGGGAGAAACAGACATGATGACAAGGGCTCCTGGAGCAGCTGGCCAAGCTTCATCGGCCTTTGCCCAACCGCAATCTGCCTTAAGAGCCTAGTTAGTTTCCACCCCTGCCTTCCACATCTGCAGCACCCCCCGGGGTAGAAGATCAGCATCAGCTGCACTCACCTAAGATTTTGCTAATGTTGGAGTTATGCATGTCGGGGAAGGCCTGAAGGATTTTCCTCCTCTCATCCTTCGCCCAAACCATGAATGCATTCATTGGTCGCTTGATGTGTGGCTCGCTGCTGGCACGGCCGCGGGCATCCCTGTAGACTCGGGCTTCAGCCACAGTGGCACCTCCTGTTGGCCAACAATAATACTGCTGTAGTTTAGCTGCAGAGCCATTCATTGCTTTACTTCCTGGAATGTCAGGGCAGGAAGAACAAGACGGATGCAAAGCATTATTATGTGGATAACGGAACACAGCTTGCCGCCTGGTTCTGCTGTCTTCTCTAGGCCCTTCTTTTCTAAGTGACCTCTTGGAAGCAGAAGACAATTTTAAATGACAATTCTATAGGCCCATCTGATGTGACCCTCAAATGTGTGGGCAAAATTAAATTTGCATTTTTTATTCACCTACTATATTTACTCCAATCAATTCTAGGGGATAGTAAAATAATGATACATTATCTTATGGTAAATTTTCCTGCTGGGATTCTTTCAAATTCCTCCTTTTTATTTGTCATTTTAACCTCACTTGACAAAAGCTATAGCCACTTCAAATGCTATGTTCTCCCCATCTGCACCCCCACCCCTGCAAATAGAATTATTTTCCACCATGTTGTGCCCTGGCCTGTGCTCTTCTTACTTCATGAAGATCCTTCATCCTTCATGTGAAATCCCACTCATCTTTCAAGTCCTATTCATATGTTGGTATTTTTCAAGAAAGAATGAACTTGATGGGAAATATTAACTGCACAAGTACTATGAGCTAAGCTTCATGTCAGGTGCCAGGGATACAGATGTGAATAAAACAGCTCCTGCTTCTAGGAGCTCACAGTTCAGGAGAGGGATGGACAGTTCTAACAGAGGGTGAGGTAAGTGCTGTGATACTGAAGTTAACAGGTACCAAGAAGTCACCAGATAAGGCGGGCAACTACTGCTTCCTGGAGACGTGACATCTATGAATGGGAATCAGCAGGTGAGGGGGGTGAGGGAGACAGACGGGAAGGGAAATTCAGGCTAAAAGAGCCATATTTGCAATGATGCTCTGGGCTGAACTCATCCCTTTGCTTTCAGGCTACATGCCCCAGGGTAATGAATCGTTCATGTCACTACTCCCCTCTGATCTTTCCTCTACATTCCCAGGAAGGTGAGATCCCTGAAGTCAGTGTTTATGTAGTACTCATTCTTGTATCCCTAGGATTTCCCACATAATAGACACTCAATAAATATTCATTAAGAAATAGTTCCATTTTCAACTCATATATGCACATGAGATATTTATTTCGTGGGCCATGATATATTTTTCTGTTTTCCAAAGGTACTTCTTTAACACTTCCCTATGAAACAATGTCTAAATTCCTGCTGTTTTACAGTTGCTGAAAAGCTGGCTTTAGTAACATACTAAATTGGGAGCTCCTTGAGGAGAGGCAGGGGCTGAGTCTCATTCACTTGCTGTCTTCCTAAGATTCAGTAAATATCTGGGTCCACCGAATTTCAATTGTTATAAGGTACTGAGTGAATGAATGAATGAAGTTCTTGTTTATTCTCATGGACCTGACCAGTGTGACACATGGATATTTGCTTTGCTATGAGGCAACTACTGAAAATCTCCCTCTCAACTGAGAACTTCTCTAGCTAATGCAAAGTGGTTGGACTGATGGCCTTGGCCAAGGATTCTCCTGCAGAAATAGTAAAGTCTGTGCCCCATATTTAGAAGTAATATATACATTAGAACCAACATTTATATTTTCTGGAAAAAAGTAAATCATCTCAGTGAAGTTACTAAACAAGAACAACATGACCCACTCAATCTCTGGCCCTTGTACTGCTTTTCTAGATACCTTGATTAAGTACAAATTTGTGTGCGCCAAAGACAGTAACAAATTAGAACATTAAAGCACACTATTATTTGGCAAATACAGTCATCATTTACTGCAAACAAAAGACAAGATAAAAGGATAGAATTGGCTAATATTGTGAAATTTTTTTCTATGCATGAAGGAGGGCAGAGAGGCCGTTTTCTGGGAATCGTGCAGAAATAGCACATTTTATAAACCACCCTTCTTTCAGACCTACTAGACAGAATGATCCCTTACAGGAGAACTCTCAGATCCTGAGATGCATAACTAATATGCTACCTTTTTGCCACCATACCCACAGTACATTAATTTCATTTAAAATGCACTGACCATACAGGATAAATTGATTTCACTTTATATGGGTTTGACAGCCATGTTTATTGTGCAGTGAAATGTAGTGTAGCTTCCAGCTGACAATATCCATCAACATAGGGCAATATGCTGACTGCTGGGCCAGATGAAGGCATACATTACTCTGGAAGTGAAATACTCATTCAGATACGACAGTGTCTTCTCCTGAGGATCACCGTGGTAATTTATGATGCCCTCAGTGCCATTAGTTTACAACTGACATGGATTCAGCAATTTATATACTGGCATGCATACACATAAAAGGAGACAGGTTTGTGGAGACTGTCAAATGCAAAAACATTTCAGTATTATTTTAAGTTAACTGCTATGCCACAGGTGATTAACATTTGAGATCTGCTTTCACTGTTGCAACTTTCTTTGCATCTCTAGCAAAAATCAGCTTCCATTTCTTTCTTTCTTTATCTCCTACAGATCTTGGTGGATTTTTAGACTCAGTTTTAGTATAGAAAAACATTCTAGATCATCTACTCCATACCGATTGATCCTCCCAGACAAGCCAAGCCAAACATAAATTTGTCATTATACTGCAATCTTAGCATTTCCTTCCTATTCTCTCTGCTTTTCTAAATTCCACTTTTTAAGAAACAAAAAACATTAAATTATTTGAAAGTCTGTGTTACAGAGAGAGAGAGAGAGAGAGAGAGAGAGAGAGAGAGAGAGAAGTTTTCCATCTGCTGGTTCACTCCACAAAGAGCCACAATGGCTAGGGCTGGGCTTAGGCAAAGCCAGGATACAGGAGCTATTTCCAAGTCTCCCACATGGGTGCAGGGGCACAAACACTTGAGCCATCAACTGCTTTCCCAGGCATATTAGCAGGGAGCAGGATCAGAAGTGGAGCAGCTGGGACACGAACCAGTGACCTTATAGGATGCAGGTGTCACTCTCAGCAGTTTTACCTGTTATACCACAACGCTGGCCCCAAATTTCCATTTCTTTTAAGAAACAGAGATGAGGTCCCACCTCCATGAACTGCCATGCACTGATCTTTCCCCTTGCCCCCCACACATATTTTCTACAAGACACTGACACTGAATTAATCACACAGCCTGTGTGCAGGATTCACAAGGAATGCTTCTAGAAACTGAGAAATTCAAAAAATAAGTTTGAAATAAAATATGTGAAGAAATAAAAATATGAAGTAAGAAAGGGAGTTGTGCATGTATTTTATTTTCCTGAGAAATGAAGGAGGAGCTAAATTGTGAATGTTGTATAAAATGAACCAGGATTTGGTAAGAAAAAAACTTACCCAGAAATACTAAAATTCAAGCACACCTTCAAATTATACCTTGTATCCAATCAGACATATTTCTAGCAGTGATTTCTAATATGACACAAGTTCATAATGAAGAGATCCATTTGCAAAATCATAACTTGGACAGATGTTTTTCTTTTTTTCTTATTTTTAATTATTCACAATTTGCTAAACCTATAGTATTCTAAGGCTACCTTATAACTATGCAAATCATGCCCAGTCGATGAAAAACAATAACAAAACAACCTTGCTTGTGAGGATGGTCTCTCACTCTTGCCCTGATAATCATTGCTAACATCCTGTAAAGGGACTCCATCGTCCTTGACTAGACTTACAATGCCTGAGTTAACACTTGGGTGTGATATAGGAAATATGAGGTTGTACACTACAAATACCCTGCAAAGACATGTTGAGGGTTTCTCCTATCCTGTCTTTGTGGTGAGCATGTCATATATAACCTCTGTGGAAATTAAGGAAGCGTCCAGATGAGTACTATGCAGAAAGATGCTTTTTCAACATATATTTCTGAACTGAATCCTCTGGTAGAAAACATTCTCTAGTTTTTCTTTATTCATCAAAAGCTGACAACTTATCTATTGCTTGAATGCAGAAGAATTTAGTTCAGTGTCAAATTTTAAGGAGGCATTAGTGCCGCAAAAATCAGAGTACTACTTAGAAAGTACCCGTACAATTCTCTAAACTTGGCTACTTAACACGAAATGAGAATTATCTCAGCAGCAGAAATACCCATGAGCATATAAGTGTATATAAATTCAAAAATCTAAAAATATATTTTTGAGTCCTTTAAAACAGACATGGAAAATTCTACAGCATACTACAGATTGTTTTCTAACAGCATGATATTAACCTGTGTATTTGATGCTGAAAATTTACTTTCTGTTATAATTAACATTAAAGAAACTACAAATCAAACGTGATTTCATACTGTTCCATACATTTTTGGAAAGACATAATTTACTGTAAAAGAGAAAAAAAAGTATTTTGTTCTTAAATAGCCATGATTCTATCAAAATTCTGGAATTGAATTGTCCTGGGGAACAACACATCATCCTATGAGGCAGCTTCTTTTCCTTTTAATAGAAGAGAAATTGTGTGAGTTCAAGAACAGTTTCTCACAGAAAGCTGTTGGAAGAAGCCTAAACCCATAGCTGCGTACCTGGAGATGACTGCTTTCCAGTTGACCTAAGAGTCTTTAATAATAGGATACAGCAGTCCCAAAGGACAGTTACTGAAAGGCCAGTAGGTCAAAAGCACCCGACTAGACACCGAGGGAGAGCACAGTGCATGTGTACCCAGCATTCCTGGCGTGTACAACTACCCCTCGGAGGCTCAGATTAGCTAATTCACCCTTCATCTCCCAAATCACAGTTTATGTATAGCCGAACGTTCAGTTAGACAAAGACAGTTAAACTAGAGAAAAAATAGAAACTGTCAAGACAAAGACCTCCTTAGGAAGTTGTGATTTGAATGATTTAAAGAGAAGACACAAAATTGAGTTTTTCCAGGTGGGTTGGAAGGAAGGCCAGTTTCACCATCATAGCCTATGGCAATGGTCCTGAACTAATTCTACAGAGGCCCCTTCCTGGGTAAATTCCAACAGCTATTTGAGTGAATGAGTGAGTGTTTAGTGTGGGTTGGTGTGTAAGTAAAGTTTTCCCTTGTGAGGTACTCTGTCTAATTCTATAATGTGC